AACTTTCGGATATCTACTGATAATTGTTCTTCATTTCTACATGCGTAGTACGTACATTCCGATGAATTTATAAAGGCCCCGAGAATAAGCAATTTCTCGCGAAACGTCTCGGTGCTGTATTATATGGTAGCTTGTTGCACGCGAAATGAAGGATGTCAAACTTCGAACAATGTTTCATAATGGAAATAGTTTCCGGCATATTTTGTACAGTTCTGCTATAGAGAAGAGGCAGAAACTTTAATGATGTCTCAATCTTTCGGACACACAATTGGCTGTACAGTCACGATAGCAGAAACTTAAATATGACTTAATGCAACTTGAGTTGGAACTTCGTTTCAAAGTTTAAAGTTCAGACGTTACGAAAGCTTCCAAGATCGACTGACCATTTTAGCTACTTTATTTGGCGATTGTGTTGTCTAAACAATGGAAAGTCCCGTTTCACTTAAGATTTAAGTATACTTGTTTGTATAGAACCCCTGACATGCAAAAAGAAATTTGTACGGTTCCCAGATTGTAAAATTCGAGAGTTGTATTTTAACATATAACTTCTTATTCGATAGAAACTAAATGGCTGTTTACCATCGTATGATTAAAATTGTGTTGCACATTCTGTTACGTCCACTGTTTTGTTAAATAACAATAGGTATTCCAATTACGAAATACAATAACATTTCTTGTTAAACGAATGAATTGACCTACCTATCTAAATAATATCCTATATAAAACAAGTATGATGGTGCAGTTTCTGCACACTGTTTTCATAATTCGAATAAAACTTTGTCTCTACCAAAACCAAATAGTTCTGAGTTCGAATTCTAACGGAACACTTCTTCACGATACTACTTCGAGTCTAGACTAACACCTTCCGAGTGGACATTATTGTTTGTCTCCACAATAGTTCCAGAAACGTTCAGACACACGGTCTATAGGAAGTACCGAGTGCAAGGCGTTAAATTTTTCGCAGTCGGTCTCAATACTGTTTTCTATCCTCTCGCTTGGGTGAGCAAAATGAGCTTCCGTTCGTCGAACTCGTAACTGACCGCACACTCCTCTCGCCGTCCTTCGAAGAACAAACGCGAAGGATTCAAGGGGTGGCCAAGTTACATCGAAATACAATGGGTTCTCGTTGCGTTGAACAGCTACCCGGGAACTACAGACTTCGCGGAATTTCGGAACGGCGAGGTCAATTATCCGCAATCATACGCTTTGTTGGAAAAAGGAATCGTGTCGCGACATTTCAGGTTGATGGAGGAAGAAGAATGGCCAGAAACGAAGGAGAGCCGGATTTCGAAGACACTGGGTCATGAACTTATAGAGCCGTAAAGTGACGAAGGATCGTAAGAAATTTTAAACGTCGTAAAATTTTATCACCGACACCTGGAAGTAAATTAAACGTCCGCGTTGAATACCTCTGCCCGCCATCGAACTTCGTCTTTTCCATTCAATTGCGGAACGTAGAAATTGTATAAATGGGATCATTTTGAATCATACCGATTGGTCGTTCACTTTTTTATTCCTGAATTTTTATCTATGTACGGAAAGGGAAAAATATATTTATGTATCACTGACGCTTCTTGCTTTCGTCTGTTAACACTATTTCCAGTGTTAGAGGAAGCTAATGATTATTTATACTAGGATCTTAGAAGACCGCAAACTGGGAAATACAACAATGTCTTTACTCGCATTTCGACTACCGTGTTATCGATATAGGGATGACACTGTACTTAAAAAGAAAGATATTAACCCTCTATGGTAAGGTATCGAATCGAAACGCCAAATTGATCACTTTTTGCATTCGATGTCAGGGATATTGTTCAAAATGAAATAGAACGTAATCCAGGTGAAATTAGGGGAGGTTTAAGTCATCATTTTTCTATTCTCAAATTTGTTGAAAAAATATAGACCGCTGAAATTTACAATTTTTTACAATTTTCGTGAAACCGCGACATGCTTAAAAAGAATTGGTTCTTCGATTATTTGAATCTAGAAGGATTGTCCTACTACACTAATTCCTTTGATACACGAAAAATTGATTTTTTAATACTGAAAATTATAGACAAATTATATAATAACAGAAAGTTTCTGTTTCACCATATTCTGTATATTCATACAACAAGTATAAATAATTGAAATCCACGGTCTAGTAATGAAACATGTACCTGGTGAAAACTACAATGTACGAGATGTACATCTGGTAACTTGAGGAATTACAAATAATAGTCCACGAAGGCCAGGAAAAACAGAAATTCTACCTCGGAAATTCTTGCGGAATTCGTGGCGCCTCGGATACGCGAACCTCCTCTTTGTAGAATCACCAGTGATTTTCGGACCGGACGTTCGCGATGCCTCGAAACAAGAACGGGGAAGGTTCCCCGCCGACGAACGTAAGAAGTCCGTGGAGAGAAAATAAACCGTTGCGCGTTCGAAGCTTTACCAGACGTTACCACGCGCGGTTAATGTTGTTCTCTTCTTGCGTAGCTTCGTTAACTCCCCGGTTCCCGTCTCGAGAATTGGTCGAAACCTTTTCCCCGTGGGACGGGTAGCTTTTACGAGACGTAGGAAACTAGTTTCGCCCGCGCTGGTTGTTCCAGCGGCTTCGATTTGATCAGAACAATAGCCAGGGAAGAAGTCACGAATCCCCTAAGATCTGGAGCTTCGGTAATGCACGAAAGGGATTCGATTAAATCTTACAGACCGTTTTCAAAGTTGCACATACGATGATTTTTATATTGACTGTCTGAGTTAGGAAGACTGTCTCGCGATAAAGGACCGACGACTTCCCGGTATCCGAACAATTTCCACCGAATCGTGTGAAAGAAATTAATAATCTGCAAAATAATAACACTTTCATTCACGAACCAAGCCTCATCGGAAATTCTCAGCATTCACTCTACGAGGAGTTTCCCGTCGAATGAAACGTTCTCGCGACTTAATGAAATATATATTTCAATTTCGATGACCCGGTTTGTCTCTCGCTTCACCCTCGTACGACATGCTCTCGCAATGTTCGTTTCCACCGATTCTAGTTCTAATATCGCGGAAATCCCGTCCGCTCATTCATCCCTTCCACGGTTGGCCAACTCGTTGAACCACCGGACAGGAAAGGGGTGGCGAAACGAACCGCAGAATTATAACACTTTCCGGCTGCTCGACTTGAATTAAGCCCATTTTTAAAGCCCGACCACCCTCCCCTCCCTTCTGTCAGCTTTCTCACCGTCCCGCTCTACGGTATCGCGATTTCTTCTGGCTAATATTTCAACGGGAATTGTGCTCTGGCTACGAAGTCTACGGAAATTAGATCTCGGCCGTAGTGGGCAGCGCAATTTCGAGCCGCGGCATCAACTAAATAATACGCTCGTAAGTCTCGCTTGTCCGCGGTCTCGGTTGTATCCCCACCGATGCGGTCTGAACGATGATGCATCGCGGTTTTGTTGTCGAGGGCACGGACAGGAACTCGAAAAATGCGAGATTAGAAAGTTTTTTTAGGGTCACGAAAAGCTTGGATCGGTTGACAGCTCGATGATCTTAAATAAATCTCTTTGACCGACTTTTGGCGTACGCCAGCGTTTCTAATAGCATTCACTTGCTATTCTTATTCATATGGAGATTGCTTTGTGATAAGCGTCGATTTTGTGAAACTGTGATGATGGAGAAAATTTTAAAAAATGTTTAAAGATCCCAGCCTTTGCGTCTAGTATGCTAAGTAAACAATTGATTTATTCATTCTCCTCGATCTTAACCCGTGACCCCCGTTATTTTTATTGCGTCCTTCATCCCCTGTGCCTTTTATGTACAGACATATTTTTTTTTATATTATAGGCTTGCAAAGTCTGAAAAAATGAAGGGATACTTCCTGGGGTCTTTACTACATGATCCAGTAATTTGTAAAGTTGAAGGTATTTTTTCATAACAATCCCTTCGATTCGGAGATATTTGAGCACGAAATTTCGCTTGTGGTTTAGAAGACCCAGAGAGGTCACAGAGGGTTAATCATTTAATCTATGTTATTTCAAACGTCTTCGAGTATCCGAAAATCATGTAAATCTGGATATTCTCATACCGTGAGATACACTCGAATCGTCTACACATCGATGGTTATTACTTTCCACGGCAAATAGTCGAAAAGATTCTAACGATGTCAGCTAAACGTCGTAAAATCGAATTGTTATATTCAGTGCATACTGTTATATTCTGGCAGTCGGAAGGAAACACGAGCATTAAACTTGAAACTGAATGTTGATCAACGCTGATGTGCCCGATAGCCGTTTATAACGTAAAAGTCGCGCGATCACCACCCATATTATCGCGGCGCTAACTATAATGTCTCGTTTTAAAGTGTCGTCATATAGTTTTAGAGTTATCGTACCGCCTGGCTGGTCCAGGTTTCGTCATCCCGCTTGAAACTATCGTATAATACGGGGTGATTCACGGTAAGCTGTCTCGTCAGCCGGTCGTCTTGTCTGGTCTTCGACCTTTCAACTCCCCCCTTTTTCGCCACAAACTCCGAACTCTCTCTCTCTCTCCCTCTCTTACAGGCAATGAATTACACCGTGCATGCACAAGGAACTTGCGAGTCCTTTGTTCGGAACAATGGTTTAGAGAAATTCGTGATAACTTCAGAATGTCGTGGCGCATTACGGTTCATTCTTTAGAACGTACAACGGAATTTGTAACCACGGCATTCTATCATTAGACCGCGATCAATTGTGAAGTGTTATAACGTGTAAAAAATCATAACCGATTAAATATTAAAGTGTAAGTCTTTAGAGCGGTCTTCTAAAAAAAATTACCATTCTCAAACTATTTAAAGATAATCGATTATCAACTATATGATTAAGTGTCGAAAGAACTTAGTAACACAAATTTATCGTTACCACAAGTTCCCCCTAAGCGTAATGATAATCTCGGTTACCTTCGAGTATCAAATTCTCTTCAGTCACGTAATGACCTTTTTCGGTTTTCAACGAAATTTCATAACAGTGGTGAAGGGTGTTACTTACATTGTACGTCGAGAAGGATGCTGGCGTTCATAGGTATCGTCAACGTGATGTGTCGCGCGATACAGGCGATTGTGGCGTTGTGGTGACCCCTCAAGACCTTAAGGTGAGCCCCACTGTGCCTGCCAGACGTCGGGGGCAACACGGTCAGATTGTCCGGCGGTTGCTCCGGACCGTCCAAAGTGGCCTGAGACAGAGTCATTCCCCATGCTAAAACAGGGGGCGGGTTTCCACCCTCGGCGGCGCACTCCAACGTCAACTCGGAGCCCTCTTTCACCGGGACGAACTGGTTTCCCGGATCCAACCGGCGCCCATCTATCAGCAGATACGTCCCCCGGGGCGCCTCTGTAACAAATCCAACCATCCGGTGAGTCCTTCGATTCCGTGACCCCCGTAACGATGAAAAATCTTGTCGTGCATACCGGGTGTGCGGGAACGTTTCCATTCAAAACACACGAAAATTTACAGAGTATGATATATTAGTTAATGGATTGGATAGCCAGTGATTACAAGTGATAATATTGTTGGCAGAGAAAATCTCAGTAGTATTGTGAAGGTATTTGAAGATGTAATTTGTTATTTTAGAAACAGTGCTGTTTCGGGATTTGATAATTTTATTATGATCGTTCACCTTGGTTAGGTTAGTGGAATTGGAATGATGCCAGAGAGAACGGAAAAGAATCGATGAAACGAGTGATATAGGTACTGCTTTTGTCAGACGTGTATAGAATGGACTGTTATACATTAGTAGACAAAAAAGATACCACTTGTCTGATTCTGTATAGGGTAAACGCACCGACGAATGGACACTTAAGACATTTAGTAACTATTAAAGTCGAATTTAAAATGACAATATTTGGTACTCAAAGATTACATTTTTTAATATCTATACCTTTTTAGGATTTATAGGTTTCAATTTGAAAAATTGACAAAATGTAATTAATTCGATTAGAAAGAAGAAATACATATTTCACCATATGAATAAACAATATTAAATAAATGAACATTTCTACCGAATGACGCGAAAGTTATTTGAATCTGAAACAAGGAAGTGAAAAACGTCAATACTTAATCAATTGATTATTTTAATAACATAATTTTAAATAATAACAACGGAATAGTAAGAACAGAATCCTCTGAAATACGCCCTCGTAAAGAATGTCACGTGAAGTTCGGTTAACACACTGTCACTATAAAATCCCATTACACACAAGACATGAAAATAGTATCCCCGTAAATATCCAACGCTGAAGGTTTCATCTAGCCGAGCAATTCTTCTATGAGAACAAAAACCTACGTCTAACTCTTTCATTACTCGGTTAACTCAATGAAACCTAAATAACAATTTAAATTTAAATATCGCTTGCACTGAAATACCCTTATACTATTCTCATCGAGTATTTCTTCGAAACGGTCTAATACGTTCCAAGTTGCTGATAGGCTATCAGAGAGAAAGCGGACGAGAGAACGGTATTATACATTATCCAGAAAGAAAAGGGGGGAACTGGAGCAACAAGAATCATGTTTTCCATTCAAATTGATCGTATTTATGCGATCGAACAGTGTGCCAAGCGTTTCAACGAGATGTTTCTCGTTTCACAGGGCTTCGTTCGCGATAGGATTCGGTCACGTTCATTAAATTCCACCGTAGCCTCGATCTTGCCAAAACGGCTGCACGAGACGTCCCCATCCCCCTTCGAAATAGATTATAGAAACGAAAACGCGTGCAGATTTTCCGAGCTGGCATCGAAATTGCAATCTCCGCCACGTGTTCTGTGTGATTCGAGGTAATAAAACGCCCGCCGTTACGAGTGCTCCGAATTATTCGGTATTAATTAAAACATTTTAATAACCGTGCATTTAATTACGAGCCGTCAATTTCACTCTTAGGTAAGATCTATAAATCTGCAGCTCGAAGACAGAAAGAGAGGAAGGAAATTAAGTCAGCCAACCAGATACAATCACTTTCTGTCGTCTAAAGAACGCTTACCAGGTTTGCCTTCTGTTCGAATACTTTTCAATTTCGTCGATGGGATACATCGTGGCCCAAGCCGGTTCATTACTCGCGGATCTGTTCATTTCAAAAGTATCGAGTGCACAAAATCTACGAGGCAATGAGAGAAGGTTTCGACTCTCTTCGTTCGCCTCCTCCGTCTCTAATTTCATCGAAATTCTCACAGTAGCGGCGTTACGTTTCGTACCGTGAACTAAAAAATGGAGTAGAGTATTACAGTCGGCAAATATGCTCGTATTGTATAAAATTTCATTCTTTGGGTTTCGTGCGAAAATAGTGCCATTCCTTTGGCCGGATTCGGTATCTCGAGTACACGTTGAAATAACCTCGTTAGATTAATAGAAGATAATTATGGAGGAAGATGTAAGGAAGAGTGAAATTACCATTACTTTGAAGATCAGGCGCAACGTTCTTGATCGATCAATGAAAGTCACAATCTCCTTGTCTGACCGATGAAAGTAGCAACCTACTTATCAAGCAAAACTGATCTGGTCTGACCAGTCACTGTACTTATTCTCCTTGCCCTATAAGGCGAGCATCTATTCCATTTTTCTGACTGTCAGCAATATCTGTTCTACTTCTCTGCCTGCAAACGAATTTCGTATAACGTATATAGCCAGTCTCTGTCTGTACTTCACTTGCCAAAGTGATGTATGAAAGTGTGGACAAAGCTTGTTCCCTTTCCCTCGCAGACGTGCACTCGATGTAACCGAACCGGATACGATTTCCAATTTCCCTGATGAATACGTATGCAGTTAGTCGAGCGTTTTAAACGACAGGACAGATCAGCGCTGATTTATAACCGTGAGATCATATCGTCGGATTTGAACGCGGACGGGGATAATCTCAGAAAAATCCAGACACACTTTGCATACACTTTTCGTCTCAATTTTCAGTCTAAAAATCACGAACTTGCTACCCTGGAAAGGTTCCAGATCCATGTAATGCGATCGTGAATCGAGAAGAGGAAAGCATTCCGAGGGAAAGAAGGTTCTCGCTACGGTGATTATATAATATATTCCCTCGCGAGCATACGCTCGTCCTTGAAGCTCGAATAAATGCACCGACTCGGACGTAACTCGCGAAACTTCTTTCTAATTTCTTCTCCGACTCATGCGTCGACAAAGACGTTGAATGTCGGTCAGACGTTTAGAGGGAATATGTTCTGAATCAATTTCGATAAATACAGTGACCAACAGAAGATGTGTGATAGTCAAAAATTCACTGCATAATGTGTTCCACTAATTATATACACTGAAATTGTTTTGGTTACCATTAAAAACATGAGAAAATATTTTTAATGAAATTGCATGAATCAAAGACGATCAAGATGATACAAAATGTAGTCATTCACTTGTTTCACAACAATGTAAATACAGCAATTAAATCTGACGTGGCGTGTGACTTTAAATTCTTCTACAAAAAAAGGGGATAGTAATATTTACATCGCCAAACAGTCAGAAAAGGATTACCAAGTTTTTTCATTCTTACGACTTCGAACACGAACAAAGAAAAATTTCACGGCCAAAGAATTCCCGAGAAAAGAGTCGGGTCAAAGGTATCGCGGAAGTACCGACGACTCGATTACTTTTTTCTCGTCAAGCTTAACCGTTCGAAAAAAACGTGTCCCCGATCCGTCAAAGTTCAAACGACGCATCGCAGATTTTAACTTAATAAAACGGAAATAAAGTGGTTTAACTGATCTACCCGTGTAACCCGTGTCCGCTGGCATCGCTCGTCGATCTGGGTCACTGAATTAATACCATGTTATCTATGCCGACGGGGCGCATCGGTATCGCATGTTGGGAACACGTATAGACGGACGCTGTCGAAAGGGATTTAATCGTAGCGACGAATCGAATTATAACGCCGTACCCTCTGACGCGCCCGCGTTCCATCCGGCTATATTGTTCGGTTTGATTTTTCGTTTCTGCCCGGGGGATCTCGACGTTCGGTTGATCCCGTAAATTTCGTCACCCTTATAAAACACTTCAACAGGATTGTCCCTAAATTACGTAATCGCTACTTTTGGCGTGAAAAGTTTTTCAATTACCATTGTGTCACTGTGAATTTTAATTCAAATCGAGTGACAATCTTTTAGTATCCCCTTTGTGGCAAATATTAGGTCTAAAACCAGAAGAAAATACGGCCCCTATTCTACTCTTTGTCTGATGAACGATCATTATTCTGCTTCTACTGGTATTTTTCTGTTAGTATTTCATCTCTCTGTATCTGGTACGTCCCCTCCTTTACTGTTCCTAATAAAGTTGATTTCTTTGTTCCACAGAATGTCTGTCATTTGCTACGACATTGTTCCGATAATTTTTAGTTAGTTTACACAAGTGTAGTGTAGCATTATAATTTCATTCTCTGACTATCTACGAACTACAAATCAGAAATCATAATTACAATAATACATAGCGCTCCTATGGAACTTCCCTAAAGAAAAAATATATAAACATCGTTTCTCTAACCACCCAAGAGACTAGCTTCGTTTATTTCGCAAATAGCAGCCTAAATTCCATTTATTACAGTCGAGAACAGTATCGAAGCAGTTTGGAAAAGGATGGTGTCGATAAAAGTTTTTTGATTACCGTACCGCTTTATAGATTTTAATTCCATGGGAATGACTTTCCCAAGACTAGCTGCCGCGGCTGTTTTAAAGAATCTTATTACCTCTATCTTCCCCGGCTCCCGTCCCACCCCCTCTATCCAGCTAACGACAGAAAAACCATAGGATCATGAAAAGAGACGAGCAAAGAGATTATTACCGCCGTCTCACTGTATATATATACATCTGACCCGTATGTAGAGAAACTACCGTCTCCCCTCCCCCGGAATTCCGAGGCCAATAATAGGTGCAAGGGCGGCCGTTCCAGACGGGAAGAAAGCGCGCCAGGAGCGTTAATACAGAAACATAACGCTAAAAACAATTTCGAACCGTGCCGCGCCGCGTTTAGCACATATGGCGCCACGTCTGCCCAAAGGAGGAATTCCTCGGTATCTATGGTTCGTAAAATTTCACAATATCGCCGAGAGCTCCGTTCGCCTTCGACGATCGATTCCGCTTCGAATATCAGCCGGAACTTTCGCGTTGAACGAGTTTAAAAAACGGGAGAGAATCGAGGATCTATAAAACGAAATATTGATTTTTGTATCAGGGGAAAATGATTTTCTCACTTAAACGTTATTACGCGACCTATCCTCAAAGTTCATAGGAAGATACACCATTTAAAGGGTACGATTTAATTGTAATGCATTTTTATACACATTTAATTCTACCGAAGTTGAGTTAGGTTCAACACTTTGACGTCGGATAACGTAGTAGTAC